GCCCTGGATCTGCATCTTCATCAGTGTTCTGTGATGGGCCAGGCAGTGCTGCAGGTGGCACAAGTCTAGGACCTTCAGCTCCCTCCTCCTGGTAGGCCTCTTTTTGCTTGCTAATCTCCCAGAGGTGTGATGCACAGAGACCATGAAGAAGATAAACAGGTTGCTTACCTGTAACTGATGATCTTCGAGTGGTCATCTGCGCATTCACACCACCCGCCCTCCTTCCCCTCTGCTTTTAGTCCTCTCCTTTTTATTACTCTGAGACTGATGACAGCAGTCAGAAGGAACTGGAGGGATTGTCGTGCCCCTCCCTTGGTCATGCGCAGTGGGGCCGGCACGTGACTGGGGAGCGGATTCCCTTTGGCTTTCAAGAGGAACCCAAGGTCGGAGCAGGTGCACTGTATCCCAGAGGTGTGAATGCCCAGATGACCACTTGAAGATCATCAGTTACAGGTAAGCAACCTGTTTTTCTAGGTTACTCTCTGGTTTCACCGACTCCTTGCACTGTGTCCCTGTTGCACTGCATATCATCCAGGTGGCAGCTGGAGATCTCCTGGGATGACAGCTGATCTCCAGGCCATAGAGAGACTGGCCCCATTGGAAGGTGCCCCCCCCCTCCATTTCCCAAGTCGGGGCTAGCAGCCCCACAGAGCCCGCCCTCCAGGGCAGCCACGTCCTCCACGGGGACAGAGCTCTGCGGCCTGGGGAGAGCCGTTATCATAAAGGCGGGGGGGTCGCCAGTCCCCGCCTGGAGGTTGCCAGGTGGGGGGGGGAGGGGGTGGCTGAGGGCGCGGCTGGCACCGGCGAGAGCGGCCCTGCTCCTCCTCCTCCTCCTCATGGGGGACGGGCGCCCCGCCCCCTTCAGACGGGGCCCCGGATGTGACAAGGCCTCCGGCGGCGCCCAAGGGCGGAAAGTCATGTGTGTCGCTCTAGTCAGGGAGGTGGTCCTCTCTATGGCCGCGACTTCCGGCGCGGTGCAGACGTCAGACTCTGACGAAAACACGCAGCGACAACCGTCCCCCGGCGGCGCTCTGGAAGCTTCTGGCGCGGGGCTGCTGCGCGATGGCGGAGGGAGCGGCGCCGCTGCGGTGAGAGAGAGCCCCCCCCGCCCCGGCCCGCCCCTTTCGCCC